ACCGATGTGAATTAGTTGCTCCAGTATAGAGTTTACAAGAGAGTCCATGGTTCGATCCCATTGAGTTGGTGCAATTATAATGTTTGGTTTGAATGGGGAGTGATCAATACTGATTTCATCATAGGCCTTTTTCTTTGGTTGCTGCTGTGTAGATACTGATGATTTATATTTTCTGTTAGATGTCCCATAGACTTGGTGAATTTATTAATTTGATGTTATCTATAAACACATGGAAGTGAGATTATAATTAGTATTATCAATATTAATGACATATGACATGATATTAATTTCTAAAACAGGATATCAAAGTCTGCCAGCCCATAGTTAAAATGACATATATGACATTATAATGATAACCAGACAGCATACTTACCATGTGTTGTCACTTGTCACATTGGTTAGGCATACGTACAGGATGTAGTATCAGTCCTTTTCAGGGCTGACACACATATGCATCATTAGGTGGTGCATTGTTTCTGGTCAAGCAAGAGCTAGGTGAAAAGTACAAATATCAGTCAAACATGAGTCACCTTATAGGGATGATGGTTGCTAATAATGGCCAATTTACAATATGGAATTTATTTCTATGGTATTTGCCTAATAAAATATAGTCAACTATGATGATGGTTAAGGCAGAGCAAGTTTAAACATGGTTACAATGTGGTAACATCTTAAAGTTTACTCCTCTGTTTTATGCACGTTCCCATTATGTCACATTAGCTATATTATAATTATAATAGTCCTTAGTATTGTGCATAGTTATTGTAGTTGTGGAATAATAGAATGTAATGTTCAGCTAATTGTAAGTTTGAGTTTCACAGCCTTGTGGTCTGAATAGTAAACACTGAGCACATCATTTTCAATTATTTCAACTGCTGTTGATCTTATGTAAACATGATCTAATAAGTTTCCAGAAGATACAAATGTTGGCTTTGTTACAATTTGAAGATAATTTAAAGAATCCATTATTAATTTAAGATGTTCAACTTGTTTATCTTTGAAGTAGTTAATATTTAAATCACCAACAACAATATCAACAGTATTACTTGCAAGGATGTATCTCAAACATTCTACGTATTGTGAGACATTGGAGTTCTGTTTTCGATAGAGGAGAAGAACATTTTGTGTTCCATTGGACATGTTGTTAACCAGTTCATATTTGATTGTATTTAGCGAAGGAAAATATTCAAAATCTCTAACATCTACAGTATTTCGTGTACAGATTGCCATACTTGAATATTTATCACTGACATGGTCTTGACGGTACAGTTTGAAGGGACTAAGTGTATCAATAATTTCATTTCCAGAGTCAGGTGAAAGCAATTGAGTTCCTTCTGTTAAGGTTATAACATCACTAGTAAAAAGTCTTGAATCACATTTAATGTCAATGCAGTGTTTTTTAAGAGATCTGATATTTAAAAGTGTTATGGTGATAGCATTATTATCATGTTGCAAAGTAGTGGTTGGATAACTAACAATACATTCTTTTCTTAGTCTTTCATATTCCTCCAAAACTTTAGGATTTGTTTTGACATATTTACTAGCAATTTCTCCTGAAATATGCAGACCTTGGAGCGAAGTTGCTCTGCTTAAGGCAACATAAATTTGTCCATAATTAAATGCTCTTTGTTTTACTAACTCCATGCTGACTACCATTTGATCAAGCGTTAGACCTTGAACTTTATGTACAGTACATGCCCAAGCTAGTGTCACAGGAAATTGTACTCTTTGTATTTCTGGCAATGATGGTTTACCTGGTCTTATTTTGAACTTGACCAACACAGGTTCAATTGGGACAACTTGATGTTCTCTTGCCAACAGGTTGCTAGTAGTGTTAAGAAGATTTTTACCAGCATTTGGATCATCAAATTTAATGAAAAGAGTAGTTGGTTTCTGTTAGTTGGATTGACATCAACTTTAAATACACTTCCCATTTGTCCATTGATTAATCTATCTGCAATGCTAATATTGCTTGTCAACATACTCTGGCACCTTCCTTGATGTGAATTATTAAATCAAGTCCACCTGTTTCAGAACGTTTTCTTGCAAGAACTTTATCAATATCTTGTTTCTTCACATTTGGTGGGAATTGGTCTTTAGCTTTTAGAGGAAACAATGGTCCAGCAAGTTGTTCTAATTTCTCATTATTGTGTTGTCAACTGGTGAGTTCTCTGCCCAAATATGGAGTGCATGTGATGGATAATTAGGGTCATCTGGGGATACTGATCTTGATTGGATTACCTTTATATCATCTTCTGTATGGTTAGCTGTTCTTATTCTGTTAAGAAGTTCAATAAATGCTTTATCATTTCTTTGTCTCATGATTTCCACAAGTTCTATCATTTGGAATACTCTCCATGGATGGCATAAATTATAAATATTTTTGTAAGTATCAAAAACAAATTTCTTGCGTATCGCGGTGGTAGTTGACAAAGATCACCAACAACTATTATTGATATTCCAGCAAATAACAGAGAACTTGGTGTACCGAATATATCTTTCAATCTCTGATGAATATGAAGCAAAGTTGTGTTTCCTACCATCGAAATGTTATCAATAACAATAAGCTTTAACTCCGACAATGTTAACCTCAATTGGGTCTTTTTTTGGTCAGACAATGGTGGTACAATATCACCAACTTCTTTAGGAATAGCAAGACCAACGCAGTTTCGAAACACTTAATGAACTGTGACGACGCAAACTACCTACTTAACATAAACAATCTTTTTGACAAGCTTAATGATTTTGGCTCCTTTTACTCTTACACTGAACTCGTACCTAGCAATACAAAAATACTCCAGTCTCTCAACCACACAAACTCTAATCTGTTGTTTCTCGAGGCACTGCATATAAAGTTTAAAAACCCAGAACTCAATAGCAGCTTAAAGGCATCAAAGGAACTTATAGTTTTTCCTTAGACTGTATCACACTTCTTCTTAATCATAGGAAGCCCAGACAAATGAGTCGGCCATTTGACTACACAACTAGTGACGTAACTTACTATATTATTGCGAAGGAAGGAAACTCTCGCCTCATTTTTCAACATATTCACAAAATAAAACACAAATTACTATAGTAAAACGGCACGTCGGCTGCTAAATGCCTACCGTAGGTTTAACTTGAATAATCAAACTATACTTTCATAATAAAAATAGTGCTGAATCCAAAGGAAAGCGCTGGAAAAACGTACACAAAACTTTGTAAATTTGCCGAAATTTTTGCGAATACATGCGGGATGTAAGTACCTAACTATATTGGCGGCTGGCAGAAGAATCTGATTGGTCAATTATTCTTTGTTTACCTTTCTCGACCAATCAGATTGGTTTATCATACTTTGTTTACCTTTCTCGACCAATCAGATTCTTCCGCTGCCGCCATTTTGGGTAGGTACTTACATCCCGCATGTATTCACGAAAATTTCGGCAAATTTACAAAGTTTGTACGTTTTTCCAGCGCTTTCCTTTGGATTCAGCACTATTTTTATTATGAAAGTATAGTTTGATTATTCAAGTTAAACCTACGGTAGGCATTTAGCAGCCGACGTGCCGTTTTACTATAGTAATTTGTGTTTTAAATTATGAATATGTTGAAAAACTGAGTTTCCTTCCTTCCTAATTATATAGTAAGTTACCTCACTAGTTGAATAGTCAAATGGCCAACTTATTTGTCTGGGCTTCTTATGCTCCTAATTGATATCATTGCAACAACAGCCCCTTTGAATATTTTTAAAATATCAACAGCACTTTCTGGATTAAGTGACCATGATATGGTTGGCGAAGAGTAATTTAGAGCAGGAACTATAAAAACTACAGCTGTGATATAAATAACTCTGAATTGGAAGGCCTGTCTTGGGATGAAGTATATGATTGTGATGATCCTAACAATGCATGGCATGAATTCAAGGTAATTTTACCCGGCATTCTCGATAAATATGCACCGTTCACCACAAAGTGCATTAGAGGGAAGCCTTGTCCATGGCTAGACGAAAGCCTAAAATCTGAGATGAGATACAGAGATAGCCTACTTAGAAGAACACAAAAAACCGGCAGGAGATTGATTGGTCTGCCTATGAAAGGAATCGAAACTTACTGAAATCTGTAAAAAACTAGTACTATCATGAACTTTTTGAGGAAAATGCTTAATCTCCAGAAAAATTCTGGAAATGTATAAAACAGATAAAAAGTGGAAACGGGATTACCATGCTCGTTGATGGTAATAGATAGGGAGAAAAACGAATATCCCTCAAAGCTCACAATAAAGATCCCTCGAATCCGAGATCTTCTAAAGAAGAAACTTTGTAGCCTCACATTCGATGCATTAAAAAGAATGTTTGTGAAAACTTTGACAAATATTTTGAAATCATTGATGGTGAACATGGAACCTGCAACAATAAAATGTCAATCAGACTTCCTAAAGTTCGACTTGAATCTGCCAAAAATGACTTTTATTTCCTTGGTGGAAAAACATATAATGAACTGCCTCTAGATATACGAAAGGCAGACCTTTGAACAATTTTGGGAGATTGGAAGCTTTCTTAAATATTTCTTAAATATTTGAACATGTACACTTTTAGATTTTTATTAGGATATTAGGATAGCATAGTATATAATGCGTGGGTCATTCGTCCATTCAATTTTTCCCGAAATTGAAAATTGCATTCAATTTTTTATTTTGCAATTCGTAAATATATGTAAAAATAAATTTCGGATATTAATTTTTATGCTTTTATAAGACGAATTTAAAAGAAAAAACGGCGCACATTGGGAATTTTTTCTTTAGTATCGTTGCCGATTTTCACCATCTTTCAATTTAATATATATACGGTGTTTGTACAAAATTATAAAAGCAATCAATTTTCAATTATTCCTTTCGAGAAAAAAATCGAAAATTGATTGCACTTCCGGTAGCAAAATTGCGTGCGGGGGGGGGGGTATCCTCATAACTAAAATAGCGCGGGAATCTTAAGCTTTGATAACAAGTTAGGCTAATCAGCAGCAAATATGGATGAAGTTAACTTGGAGTACGTAAAAGATCTCGTTGTTAACCAAAGAAAAACACACTCTGAAGTAAGCCTGATATTACAAGAAGCGTTTCCAGGAAAAAGAGGATTTAGTGAAAGATCAGTAAGAAGATTTTGCTGTGAGAATGACATACACTCACAACAACGTGTATCTAATGACGATTTGGAACAATGTGCAAGGACAGTTGTTGCCAAGGTAAGAGAGTAAGAAAAAGGTTTTAAATCAAATACTATATGGTCCCAAAAATCTCACAATTTCCCCCTCCCCCTGCCAACTGTAGCCCCAAACCTCAGTTTATCAGCAGCATATTTACACACTGCCACTCACTTCCCATCCCGAAACCTTAATTTTTGGCACTCTTGCCCCAAAGCAAAATCAGAAAATCTAGCTGTCTAGGTGTTATGAACCTTTATTTTAGGTTGGGCCAGCATGGGGTCGGAAAATGGTGAAGGGCTATATGAGGAGCATTGGTGTCACAGCTGGTGAAAAGCGCATTGGTAGGGCTTTGTCTATAGTGTCTCTCGCATATCAAGCCAAACGAAATGCCAACACAGCAAGACAAGTCAATCCAGTGCCATATAATGCTGAGTATTTTGGTCACAAATTACATTTGGATCAAAATGAAAAATTGGCATTGTATGGGTTAACAGAAGTCTGTGCAGTTGATGGTTTCAGTGGTAAAATTGTAGCTTTTGCTACAATGCCAGTCAAAAATAATGTTCTCATTTATGAGCATATTTACAGGTAAAGCATTCAGCATACAGCATTAAAAAATTCATGGTTGTGGAGTTTTTAGAGTTTGCATTTTGAGAAAGAAATGTAATATGTTTTGTTTAATTATGAGGGAATAAATGGGAAATTTTGCTGCAAATTAACATTAAAGGAAACTAAATTGCAATTGCCTTTCCGACATCATGTTCAGTAGCTGATAAACCCAACATGAAGTTTTTCAAGATAAAAATATATTGCAAATTTCTTAGTTTCTTTGGGGCATGCAAACTCCACAACCATGATATAGGCATTTTAATTATAAACAAAACTCATTGACCTATTATTCTTCCCATTGTGCATGTATTTTTACAGCAATGTGCATATGCTTTTTGATAGAAATGTTGTTTTACAATATGGAATGTGGGACCAAATACGCGTGGATCATGGAACAGAATTTTATCTCACATTGCATGTGCAAAACAGGTTGCAAGAGTATAGAGGAAACGTAACTAGATCACCTTACATTCAGACCACATCAAAGCAGGTATAATATTCATAAGGTAAATTATAATAAAATATGTAAAAAACAACTGTGGCAAAATGCAGGTGGTAGAAAGTGTGTGTTTTCTAGGGGTTAAGGCCCTTAACCCACTAGTGCTTCCCCATTGACAAGTAAAATCACCCAGCATTTGAAAAAAAACCCAGCTTAATAACTACTGTAGAGATTAATCACAATTCAGCCTGGTTGTCAAATACATAGTACTATTGTAGGTTTTGGTCATGATGTTGCTTCCTGTTATTAATTGTATTAATCCCAATTAATTTAAAAAAATAAATTTGCACATAATAATTTCATAATTGTAGATTACAAGAAAACAAGTCAACTGTTGTTATTTATTGTAGAGTCTTCCTGTTGAGAGAAAGTGGGTAGAGTTTAACACTCGTGTAAATTACCCTATTAAAAGTGTTCTCAATTCAATGGCTAATGACGAACTCATATATATGGATGATGACATTACCAAATTCTGCGTATCATGGTTTGTGTCGAGGGTTGCAGATACAGGAATAAAACAGGTTATTGACAGTTGGAACAATCATCCTATTCCAGGTAAGGATATTCCTTTCAAAAGTAATGATTAATTAACCCATTAAACTCCAGACACATGCCAGAAAAACAAGAAAATTGTCAGGCATTTTTCAAGAAAAAACAGGTAGAGCACATTTAATAATTTTAATAACGGAATTTTAATCAGTGTGCTCCATCAAATTGGTTTAAATGAAGCAGGCTTTGCTTTTATAGGTTATTTGTTTTTCCTTCAAAATAGGAAAGGGAGTTCCAAATGAAAGAATGCAAGCAAGTAACAAAGCATGCTTGCTACCAACACAAGATTTACTACCAAGTAAGGAACAAGCTGTGGCCTTATATGAAAGTGAAGGAGGAACTATTACCCTACCAGAATTGTTTGGAGTTGATCCCATTTATGAAAACCCACAGCTGAAGAAATTGCGTTTTGATTCATTTGTTGCTGCTTATCCTAATTTCAGTACAATCTTTCATGGTGTGGTAAATGGAGAGAGTTACCTTTTTAAAGAAGGCCTTCAGCATTTTATATCTTTGACAACAAATCAACATTAAAAACAGGCTAAATGAAATTGGTAACTTACAATTTCAAGAGTATTAATTAAACACTTGGTAACAAAGTTCAACTCAATTGGTTATTCTTTCAGCATTCTGAAAGATTTCTCTGTTTATAGTTCTTATTCCAAACCCAACTTGCAAACATGGCAACAACTATCATTGTGCAAACTATAACTGAATTAATCTACATTATACTGTACATGTAGAAAACATATCTGGAACATTTTAGATATCTTCAATGTTTGTGTTGGAAAGAATTATTCAACATCATTGTCTGCACCCTTGATCATATTTCCTAGAGCAGCCAAGAACTCGTCAAGACCCTTAAACTGGTATGTTGAAGCATACCCTCGTGGCTCGTTACAATATGGACATTTCTTACTTAAACTGTCAGTTCCATTGTACCATGTGTTAACACAGACCTCACACCCAAGCAGAGTACAGCAACACTTTGTTGCTATAACTGGTGGTTTTATGGGTGTTTCATGGCAAATTTTACACATGAAGGCATCACGAACAAGCTTCACAAGCCCCACTGGCAAAGAAACCGACTGGTTAACTTGAAGTATATCATTTATCATCCCTTTCATCTCATGTAATTGTGACTTTAGTTGTTCAAAATCAGTGCTGGTGACAAATTTTGCTTTCTTATTCTTGGATACAAATTCATCATCACTATCATCCGAAACATAATGGGAAGTAATCTTCTTCTCCTTTGATTTATTCACTCCTTTAATACCTCTGGGATTTGCCTTCACGGCATATATCTTTCTACTTGCACATTTCCAAAAGCTCAAACCTGAAACAACATTAAATTGTTAGGACTAAAAGGAGTTACAAGGAACTATTCAAGCAAAGCCCCTGCATTTCCTTGTTTGCTAAAGGGTTACAGTAAGGTCATTTTTAATTAGTACTTTTAGTTAAACCCCTAATTACTTTTATGAAATAAATTACTTATAAAAACATGTTGTGTTGTTCTGGACACTATATTTGATTTACTTAAAGTACATGCTATACATGAAATCATTTTTTCATTAACAATGAGTTATATATTGTATCAATATTGTTGAACAGTGTTGGCTGCACAACATTGTTCAATTCCTGCTGACAGCAGGCTCATAACTTTTACACCTGTATAAAGTAAATATTAATTCCTGTTGTTAAATTTATTACCAGTGTGTGAGGTCAAGCTACATATTACAAGGTAAGTTTTTATTGTTTAATGATGCATTGTGCCTATTTATATTGCAGGCCATTTTAGTTTAATAATTATATCTCAACCTTATTATAATTGTATACCAATTATATAACATATAAACATAATGTAAACAAATTAGTATACATCTGCTAAGCAGAATTAACAGTCTCTTTAACCATGGAGATGTGCCTAAATGCACCCTAATATTAAATATTTGAAGACAATTGGTAAAAATGGCTATAAAGCATAGAATACTGACCTCTTGTTCCCTCATTGTCCATGATTTTTAAGCCATTGCTGGTGACCAATTCAATTGCTTCATCATGGAATGATTCTTTTGCTTTCGTTGTTAGAAAATTGACATTTGCATTTTCTTCGTTTATATTTATGTACGTTTGCCCTATCTCTAGAAAGGTTGGATTGTTTTTTTCATTTCTTAATGACATCTGAGCATGGATTATCTTAACTATCACAGCATTTTTCCGTCTTCTACCACCAAACAGAGGAGTGGCACCAGGTGTTGACTTGGTCAAAGTTGGAGTAGTGCTATATGAGAAGGATTGTACAGAATGCTGCTGCTCTTGGCTAGATGTGCTGGCCATATCTCCCATCACCTCAACTGATGTACCATCCTCCAGATGAGTAGTGTTAAAGCGACCTGCTTCATTTGGCCAAAAGGATAAGTCTCCAAATTCTTCCTTTAGGTATAAGGAATTTGCTTCAACCTGAAAATTAATGTAAACAATACATAGTCATAAAGAATTGAGAGTAACATTGTACAAGCAAGATTTTCATATACACTTAACATTTAAATTTATATTTTGGTATGAAATTGCACAATATACCAGGGGGTTTATAAAGTGGGTGCAATATACCCCCAAAATTATAGTGATATACTTTTCATTCAGCCATATATATTTCTATTTATAAACGCTTACTTTACAATAAGATGGACATGATTTACAATTTGTATTTTTGCAAGTATCCAATACTTTTATTGAAATACATATTGAAAAGGCTCGTTGCCCAAACAGTCATGAGAAATATTAATAATTTATATTAATACAAAATTATGCTAAATTTACTCGCCCGGAATGCTCGAGAAAGCCTTCACACCGTGAGCTCACTGGACGAAATTTGCAATCTTAAGCTTTTCTCTTCCCGATGAACATCAAAAATCTTTGTGCTTGCCATTTGCAGTTGAAGGAATAACCAAATAACAACGCCGTTTACATAAAACACAACTATACTACAGGAACAGTGTTATAACCGTGGAACACGTTCTTTTTTGTGTTCCCGCCGGCGCGAAAGAAATTCAAAGAATTAGGGCCAGTGGGGGAGGGGGGGGGGTTTGCTACCGGAAGTGCAATCAATTTTCGATTTTTTTCTCAAAAGGAATAATTGAAAATTGATTGCTTTTATAATTTTGTACAAACACCGTATATATATTAAATTGAAAGATGGTGAAAATCGGCAACGATACTAAAGAAAAATTTCCCAATGTGCGCTGTTTTTTCTTTTAAATTCGTCTTATAAAAGCATAAAAATTAATATCTGAAATTTATTTTTACATATATTTACGAATTGCAAAATAAAAAATTGAAAATTGAATGCAATTTTCAATTTTCAATTTCGGAAAAAATTGAATGGACGAATGACCCACGCATTGTATATGTATATGTATTGTAATTTTTTCTTGAGAACAACTTTTAACCTAAGTACGGGACCCTAGTTGATAACAGTGAATTTCACTGAATAGACATTCCTGTATAAATAATAAATATTATTAATACCAAAATATTGAGGAATTTTGACCGTTAATGTAAATTTTGAAGCATTGCTTTTTCGTGGTTTGGGTTTTGTTTTAAAGTTTGCCCACATTTGCTCCCCCCAGGAACACCCAATTTTTTCTTATACGTTGCAGCTGCGCATGTGCCTTCACACCTTGAGTATTATTTGTTATTCACAATGTAAAGAAACAAGGAGCAACGAGCATTGCTTAAAACATTTGGGCGTAAAAATCGAGCAATTCTTTGAGAATATACACAATTTATCAACTATGTTATGAATTACGAGCATTCAATTCAACACAAATATACAGTGGAGGTCAAAAGTCTGAGTCCAGTCGATATTTTTTCTGAATTTACAATAAATAATGTCTTATGACCTGGGAAATTACATAGGCAATGCCTACCACATTCCCTCTTGTCAATTGTTGTAATATTTAAGTAATCGCGGTAATTCGGATCACTCTGTGTTCTTGGACAAAAGATGGCAAAAGAACTGAGTGAAGGAATATGAGGTCAAATTAATCGCACTGAGCAATGAAGGGTTGTCACAGCGCAAAATTGCGGAGAAGATAAAAGTGTCCAAGGGTGCTGTGCAGCGAACGCTGGAAAGGTTTCGAGAATCAGGATTGTATTCAACCAAACAAAGCTCTGGGAGACCAAGAGCTACCACTTTGAAGGAAGATCAGTACATTAAGACAACATCTTTACGCAACAGAACTGCCACGACTGGTAACATCCAATCAATATTTAATGCAACGCGCGAGAAATCAGTAAGTAGATCAACAGTAAAACGCAGGCTAGTTAAACATGGTATGAACGGACGAGTTGCAGTTTCAAAACCATTGCTAAGAGCTCGAAACAAACGAAAACGATTGTTATGGGCTCGAAAATTCAAAGGTTACACTAAAGAAGATTGGGAGAATGTTCTTTTTACGGATGAATCCAAATTCGAAATATACAGAAACAAGCGGCGCATTTATGTTAGACGTCGAAAGAATGAGAAATTTGTAAGTTCTTGCATTAAACCGACAGTGAAACATGGTGGTGGGAACATTCAGGTATGTGGCTGCTTCAGTAATAATGGTGTTGGCAATCTCTATAAAATTAAGAACAACCTGGAAAAAAACAATACCACTCAATCCTACAAAGACACGCCATACCATCTGGGTTAAAGTTGTGTGGAAAAGGTTTTGTGTTGCTGCAAGATAATGATCCGAAACACGCTTCTCGCCTGTGCAAGAATTACTTAAAAAGAAAAAAGAAAGGAGATCTGAAAGTTATGGATTTTCCGCCTTAATCTCCTGACCTAAGTCCGCTTGAGTATTTATGGGATCATTTAAAGCGAGAGAAAGTAAAACATAATCCTACGAGTAAAGACAACCTGTGGGATGTTCTAAATCAATGCTGGAATAACCTTGAGCCAGCAGTGCTAAACAAACTTGTTCACTCTATGCCAAATAGAGTTAAGGCTGTTTTAAAAGCAAGACAAGGACATACAAAATATTAGAATGATGTTAACTTGGCCTAAATCATAATTATAACGAATTCCAAAATTCATGTAAATACCAATTGTATGCACTTATAGTGCTGTGTTGAGTGACAATGTATTGCATATCAATTAAATTCAAAATCATATTGACTGGACTCAGACTTTTGACCCCCACTGTAATTTTGGAAGGTTTATTCCATAAATAGAGCTAAGAGGTTAGGAAGAAATGACGCTGTGTTGCTTTTAAGTATTGATCTGTTACACAAATATATATTATTTTTTTTAATTTGGGTCTCTGAAATGTCATTTCCAGCATCCTGAGGACATATTTAAAAAAAATTTAGAGAGGAAACTCTGTCACTATTGACTAAATGTAAGTCACCAACAGGCCATAAAAATCCGTATTAACGTGAGATCAAGTGGTGTGGAGGTAAAAAGACCTTGGGTAAGAGGTTGATAAAATTTCACATATTAAAACACATTAAACATCATAAAACAGAAAGCCTCTTTTTTTCTAACCAAAATCTAATTTAATTGAAGGGAACACAACACAATATAATACGATCGAACTATTATATAGACTTAATCTATGTGATCTAACATTAATTAGTTAAAGTTCATCATGCATTAGTCAAGCGAATTTTATTTGTTCGAGTGTTCTTTGTTATACTTCCAAGTAGCAGATTTAGTTGTCTTCAGAAGATCTTTCGTTGGCTCAAATTGATGGGCTGGCACGTAATAAGCTAGCTTTACAGTCAAAATGCTTATTCTTACGAACCATAGAGAAAACACGCTCTTCTTGGGCGTTAGAATGTGGGATTAAGAGCACCAGCATAGCTATCCTGGAAAGTCTGAAAAAGCGAGTGGTATGATCTGGGGCCTTCAGCGATGAAAGGTAATGCCAAATGATACCCATCCTGTAGTAAAATTTGTCGTTTTCGCTATCAACTTGAACTGTAGCTCTATCCCAAATTGGTTTGGGTATATCTTCATCATGGAGCAGTTTAAACTCGATAAATTCCTCAGATAGCTCTCCAGAAGTCTCCATTTGCTTCTTTAATGGCTGTCACTGTCAGAAATTTACCAGCAAATTAAAAAAGACAACTGGAATTATAGGGTCTTCCCTTTGTAGAAACATGTTAAAATGAATAAATGCTTGAAGAGATGATTTGTAAAAGAGAAGATAAACTTTTTTCAAAGGATCATCAAATAGGGAATGCAATCTCAGAAATGCTTCTTTTCTGTTCATCTGTAAAAGATGAGACGCATATAAATTAATTTCCAACTTTAAATCAGTTCATATAAATAATACATTGGCAAATATATATAATTAATTAGATTATTGCTGTTAAGAGAATTGGGCAATAATATATCATACAAATACTGTTATATAAAAAGTAACTGTTGAGGCCAGGATATTGCTGAAGCACCTGAGTAACCGCTCATTCTAAACTTAACCATCTGGTATTGACATGTTAAACTGCTTTATGATAATCAACATCACAGAATGAGTAGAATTCTGCCAGACAAGCTTTTCGTTTTGTGCTCTTGTCAAACCAAGAGTAAATATCTATAGCCATATCCTCAACATTGAATTTTGATATCTGAACCAAGAATGCGGGGATTTGTTAGCAGTAAGCGTAGCCAGCCTGACAATTTTTCCTGCTATGCTAATATTTTGATGTTCATTGACTGAAAACAATAATTGGAAATCTACATAGCCAGACAAAATCGTCAGGCTGGTTACGCCACTGTGTTTGTTAGCGAATGCACAACTAAATATGTGCAACTAGGTTTGTCTGGAGGAGTAGTTCTTGGCGATTTCGCTGTCGGAGAAAATATTGCAAGATATTGCAAATGTTGTAATATGACAATTGAAGAGATTCAGAAGTTTACTTATTTGTGGTGTCGTGATATAAGTCAAGAACAGATTTGTCACAAATCGAACATTGCAAGTACCACACAGCAAGTAACACAGTTGACTGGGACAGTCTCTGTCGCCAGACAAGCGAGGTGACGCTTTTAGAGTGCAAGGAAAAGATTGGCGGACCAGGAAAATTTGTTCAGAAAGATGAGAGTAAATTTGGTAAAAGGAAATACCATAGAGGCCATCGTGTCGAAGGGCAGTGGGGTGGTGGCATTGAAGAGCATTCGCAACAGAGTTTCATGGCAGCAGTGGACAAATGTGGCAAAACGACGTCACTTCCTTTAATCCATGAATGAGCAAGTTTTATAAACTATTACGATTAAATAACAACAGTGTTAAAAACAATATTTGGTTATTAACAGTTAGGATAGATTATTATATTATCGCAAATGCATAACTTTGAGCTTATAAGTAGAGAATAATTTAGTGAAACGAACCTGCATTCTCTTGGTTATTTCATCGGGCATTTGCTTGGGATCTTTCTTCACCATTTCTGTTCGATCAGCAATCGTTGCACTGGGAAGCATTATTGCCACAGCTTTCTTCAATTGCAGCCAATCTGAATAGAATTCAAAAAGCTTATTAAACAACAAGTAAGAGTTGACAATGATCGAGACAGAGCCTGCTTACAATCTTCCTCAAACCAAAGAAGACAGGAACAGCACAGTGCAATGGCAGAACGGGTGAGAAATCGAATTTATCAAGAGGACAGGGATTGATTGGTATGTGTTTTCGAAGCACCTGATCAAGACTATGTTGTAATAGCAAATAATTTGGGCATAAAACCGGTCAACAGCAAGAGGAATAATTGCGGGATATTTGTGAGAGAATAGAGTCGATAAAAGACCACATGGAGGTGGCAACCACGTCAAAGTTGATGACAAATGAGGTGTCTGGAAGCGATTGTCAACGAAAACTGCGCTCTAACATTGACAGCTATCAATTCAGAGTTACAACAATGTTTACCAGACAAGCCATATGTCAGTGACCGCACCATATCAAAGCATTTGAAGTCATGCTGTTTACATTAAAGTTATCACATTGTGTGCCAGCCGAACGAAACAGCAATTTTGATAACTCTCGTAGGCAAAATATTGCTGTCGATATTTCCAAGTTCGGCAGCAATTTTTTTTTACTCTAAATTACAATTCCCCTTTCGAAGATCCATGAGCATAATGTATTATTTTATGTATAAAGTATTTATTGCCAATATTATCCAAATTCAATCGCAACTCGTCAAATCCTGCTAAAAGGGGGAGATATTGAACAGAACCCTGGTCCTCAATGTGACACCAGTCACATTAATGTCATAATGTCGTCACTCTGTAGAAAATCTAGTACAACATTACGGCAGTCTTTATTAATGAGTTTGCGAACTGTCTTGAATCAGTCATCTTGTCTAGTGAGCCATTAATTATATCTGGCAATTTTAACATCCATATGGACGTGTCAAATAATCTGGACACCATTCGCCTTAGGGACCTCTTTGACTCAATGGGCCTAGTGCAACATACGAAACTACCATCCCATGAAAAAGGTCACATTCTTGATCTCATTATCACACGTCAGTGCGATAACATCGTTGCTACAGAGCCATGGCCAGTAAGATATTTTTCAGATCATGCAGCCGTAATGTGTGAGTTTACAATTGCTAGACCGGTGCAGAAGATTAAGCATGCTGAGTATCGAAAGCTAAAGTCAATTGACATGCAACAGTTTGTTGAGGATATTCGCAAATCCGATTTGTACACGTACCCTCCATCTGACCTTGACACTCTAACTGATTGTTATAATAGCACTTTATCATCTTTGCTGGATAAACATGCGCCGGTGCTGTCACGTCATGTTGCTACTCGTGGAAGTCCACCCTGGTTTAATGACGTCATCATGCAAGCAAGGCGATATAGGAGAAAAGCTGAAAGGCGATGGAGGGCTAGTAGGCTGGCTTCCTGAAGATCTGGCTGCGTTCAAAGTTAAAAGAAACTATGCTATCTATGTTATGAACGATGGTAGACTAAACTATTACAAACAGTTTACTGAGGATAATCGTGTTGACCAGTCTAAGTTATTCAGAGCGAGTACACGCCTTCTAAACATGCAGCCAGATAAAATCCTTCCATTATATACAAATGCTTTTACACTTGCCAATGAAATGGGTGAATTTTTTGCACACTAGATCATTTCAATTAGAGCGAAACTGATTGAGACTGATCCATCTGATGCCTTGGGCAATGTAAGTATTGATGTTTCCAATCCGGATATTTCATTCTCTGAATTTTCTCTGTTGTCAATGGACGATGTACGCAAGCTAGCAGTAGCAAATAGGAAATTGTGTGCACTTGATCCAATTCCTGCATATATTTTATCAGTGTGCCTGGATGAGTTACTTCCAGTTTTAAGTAAGATGGTCAACTTATCCTTACAGACTGGTCACTTTGCGAATGAATGGAAGTGTGCCTTAGTGCATCCTCAACTGAAGAAATATAATCTTGAAGTCATTAATAAGAACTTTCGCCCAATCAGCAATCTGCAGTTTGTATCTAAGCTGACAGAAAAAGCAGCGGCTACCCAAATTCAATGTCATATGGTAAAGAATGATTTGATGTCTGAATTTCAAAGTGCTTATAGACAACATCACAGCACTGAAACTGCTTTGATTAAGGTGAAAAATGATCTACTCATGAATATGGATAAAGGTCAGGTAACACTTTTGGTATTATTAGATTTGAGTTCTGCCTTTGACACAGTTGATCACACCATCCTACTTCAACGATTACAGTCACAGTTAGGCTTGTGTGGAAATGTGCTTTCTTGGTTCCAATCGTAATAATATTAAGCGCATCAGTAGATTCGTAGCAAGAGAAAAGTTGGAAATGGTTTTACATACTTTTGTTACAAGTAGAATTGACCACTGCAATGGTCTGCTCTATGGATTACCAGACTGTGAAATTGGTAAATTGCAGAGAGTGCAGAACGCTGCGGCAAGGCTATTAAAGTCTGCTAGCAAGTACAATCATATTACGCCTATTCTAAAGGAACTACACTGGTTGCCAGTTAGGTTTAGAATCCATTTTAAAATATTACTTCTAACTTTTAAAGCTCTTAACGGTATGGCGCCAGACTATATTAAGGAGCTCATTGATGTAAGGAAACATGTACGTTACTCGTTACGCTGCAATTCAGGTATTATAATTTCCCACCCAGTGGGGAAGATGTGCAAATCGTTCGGTGATAGATCTTTCAGTGTGCAGTCTGGAACGCACTTCCTGCAAGCCTTCGTAATATTAGTTCTCTGTCTACTTTTAAATCTTCCTTGAAAACATATCTTTTTAAGTTGGCTTTTAATCTATAGATATAATTAACTGCTTTATAATAATATGAGTATTTTATTAGATTTTTTTAATGCATTGTTATGCGCTTTTGATCATTACATGTAAAAGGCGCAATATAAATTATTATTATTATTATGAATTTTTTCATTGATTGTATTATTAAAACAGAGTTTGTGTAAGAGAACCTGTCTAACAAAAAAACTGTGTTGGTTATGATATTGCCTTTGTTGGTTTGATAAAGAAAATTACACTAGTGAATGAGTCAAAGTGATATCAGAGCTGAAACAAGTCAATTGAAACATGATCAGCCAATAACCAATCTCAATAAAAATCACCAGTAATTAACTTCCACTGATTGATTTTTGATTTTCTATTCTTGATTTTCTATTTCAGGTGTAATATGAATTTATTATATTTTGTAATATCAAAATCGAACACATGCAAAGGTAGCAGGGTATTCATCCACACTAAATTGTATACGTAAACACAATATGAAGTTGATGAAAATCTATCTTTTTCAAAATCTGAGAGTGAAGGTAACAAAATATGAAGGTTATCTCAGTACCCCATTCTAAGATTTCACAGCCGTGGAATGTGAAAAATTATCTGCAGCATTAGTGCCACTTGAAGAAGATGTTAATACTATAACAACATTTGACAGTAGTATTCTTAAGCAACAAAATCTTTGGTTTGTATTGCTTGTCAAAAAAACCCTGTTGATGTTACAAGGAGCAAAGCTATTTGTCGTGTTTGCAAGCTTGCACAGCTTTCGGATATTGTCAAGTTTTTTTTGCACATTTTCTGTAGAAAAATAAATAATCTTGAAAAGCGATACCTGAATAGCCTAATTTAATATAATGAATAATATAGTCACACGTTCAATATTCAAAGTTACAATTATTAGACACTGTATGTATGATTTTATTTTGCTTTAAAATTACTGAATACATCTATTTCTATCTCTTGGTGAATGATTAATGTTTTCATAGACTTGGTGTCATATTACACAGGAAAAAATCCTCAAATCCCAATGTTGGTAAAATGTTGGTAATTTCTTGGTAAATGGCATATTTCCCAAAAAAATCCCAATCTTGATAAAATCGAGCATTACCAATTTCATTTATCTTGGGGATTTAGAATTTACCAAAATTTTCCCAAATTGTAATGAAGTTGGTATTTAAAATTTACCAATAAAATACCAAGTATGTAGAAGAAATCCTGAAGCTATCAAAGCTGGGAGATTCATGGTATTTTATTGGTAATTATGTGCATAATTCCCAACAAAACTACCAAGATTGGTAAAATCAAAAATTACCAAGCTTGGTATTTTGTTGGGAATTATGCAAATTGATTACCAATAAAATACCATGAACCCCCTAGTTAAGATAGTGTAATAATTTCTTTTACATACTTGGTATTTTCTTGGTAAATATATTTAATACCAACTTCATTACAATTTGGGAAAAGTTTGGTAAATTCAAGTTCTCAAACCAAACGTACCAAAACTGGTAAACAAAATCTTGTATTTAGATACAACAAATTAAAATAAACTAACATTTAAATATTTACAAGTATGTAATGTGGCAAACCAGAGTCCTTGCCTTCTGCAGTTTATCATACCGGTACACTATGTGTGTAATATGTATATATATGAACCTTCAACACAACTTATGAATGTCAAGCTAGCTAGAGAAGTTCCACTAGAACTGTCACCTGACTTCTTTTTCATATTAACAATTACACTGTCTCTATGAAGACAGTAAAAATCTGCATCATCTTTCAAGGTTACCCATTTTTGAGAGCAACTCCCTGCTTAGAACCATCATTAGTTCAGCTTTATCTTTTGATTTTAAGTTCTTAACCTTCAATTCTCTACCAAGAGTGAGAAGATGAAGGTCTTTCTTCACTTCCTTTGTGTATCCTTTTTTAAAATAAGCCAAGATGATTGTTTTAGCTGTGGTCAATGGAATCTTTTGTGCACCCTCTAAAAAAAGTAAGGAAGATCAGAGTATGTAACACTAAGAAATTCTTCACTCTGACAAAATATTGTTTATTTGTTTATCAGCCTTTACATTTGCTAACCATACAGGACAAATTATTATTTACCTGGCAACTCAGTAAAAACACCATAGTATAGATTTTGCAGTCCATCAGAAATGAACTATGGATCCGGATCTATAGTACTGTGCAATATGTATGTTACCAACTTACAGTACCACAGAGGTTTGACTTGGCATTAATTATGCGTTCCTAGCGGCCATGTTGTTAGCCAGTGCGCTAAAGAGAGGCCCTGTCCCCCCCGAACATTATAAATAGCCATCGCTATATAAATAAACAGATCGCTCCCACTTCTATACTCTTCTAAAGGATAAGAACTAACAAAATCTGGTTTTGAGAAAAAAATTGAGCAACGTTTTTGTCAAAAATACGATTTCTCCAGATAGTTCTGTCTCGGCTGTTTATATTCCATTATGTGTTCAAGCCGCCGCCAAATGCATGATTTCCCGGGGGGAGAAGGCCTCTCTTGAGCGCACTGGCTAAGCCAGGGGTACGCAAAATTAACGGCAGTCAAACCTCTGTATGCTCTGTGCCCAAGTATACAATAAATTATTGAAGTTAGTAATTAATAAAATACAGTTTGTGGTACCTATGATATCATGTGATATCACAGTGTATAAATTGTACCTCATTATCCTCAGAATTGTATCCTTCCCTCACCATTCGCCTTCTTTCATCCAATATTGCTCTGATGTGTCTCCTGAGCTCCTCTATTAGTAAAGAATTTGTTTTTTTAATAGTGTACAAATGTGCATATTAACTTTACCTTCTCCATAAACTATGCATTAAACAGATTACAGTAGAATATGGCATACTTTCTAATCATGCATGCATTATTACCTTCATCATATCCAATATCAAGATCAAGGTGCCCTTCACAATTAACTGTAAGTTCTAGTAAATGTTTCTTTGCATTTGCATTGCCTCTGAAAACAGGAATATTGTTTCCAGGGAACAGAGCAACAGTTTTCCTGTGCACTTGATTTTAGAAATGGGAAGCATTAAGTTGAATTTATTGAGTTTGCTTAATTAATTAAAATTGACCAGCATCTTGAGATAACAACAGGACAATTGGTTCTTGTAAAAATAAAATCCTTACCGTCTAAGCAAGTCCTCTTTCTGCTGTGGTGACAGGGATGCTTTTAACTCACTTTTAGATGTTTTCACCAACCTAGGCATTTTTGCCTTTGATTCGCCTGAAATTTAAAGTGAAAAGATTTCTCTCAACAGTACTAGTGTAAAAATTTCAAACTACTTTGATACAATGTTTTTAAAATTTCATATAGCTTCTCACCCACTAGTTCAGCAATTTTTCTCTTAAGTAATCGTTTTTCACCCAGAGTTTTAACATGGCAAGAGTATAATTCTCCCTTTGACAAGCCTTTCAAACACATGCCATCAATCTTTTGATCTAAGTCATAAAAGAGATGTCAAAAAGTAATATAAAATGGTGAGAAGTCTTCAATCTTGCAATCTAAAAAGGTAAAAAATACTCTATCTTTCAAATCTTGATACACTGACCCTTGAATCCCTGTTTGAAATCATGTAATCCTTGTTTATCCA